GGCTGGTTTGTCGCGTTTTCGCGTGCAGAAGGCAAATTGAAGTTTTCGAAAAGCTCTGACATTTTGAAGCTACAGATAGAACAATGCTCCACCTTTTCATTAACCTCGAACCCCAAATCCACTACACCCAAACCTTTACGCTCTAAAGTCTGGAAACCTTGAACTCTGACACTCTAACAACACTTTTCAGCAAAGAGCAAGCTGAGGCAGGACGGCGGTAGAGACGTCATTAAGGCACAAATTCGGATGTTTTCTAACCTTCGGGCGCGGGATCGAAAAAAAAAATCCAAAAGTTTTTTTTGACTCACGGCGTCGGAAGTGCACAGACGGCGCTCAGGCTGCTGCAGCTGCGGACTGATGCGTGCCTGCGCCCACAGCTGCAGAAGACTGACGTAGATGGAGCGCTGCGTCGGCAGCCTGCTCTTCAACTGTTTGAACAAAGACCCACGCTTGTTCTTGCAAGAGCGCCTCAAAGAAACATCGGTGCCTCTGGGTTTCTGCTGCGTGCAGTTCGTTTCTGAGGATCCTCAAGGCTCCTTTTCTGGCGGTCGAGTCTGGGTCGAAGATGAAAACGGTTCATTTCCGCCGAGGTAAAGCTGAAAACCAGAATGCGCTCCATCATCGGGACCTAGCACGACATTCATGACAAACCGATAACTTTCGACGCAAGGCGCTTTCATCAAGTCGAGCGCACGAAGGGCACATGTGGGCTCTGGCTGCTTACGTCCCGCGAGCTTTCACCTGGATCTCAAATGAACTTGCTCAAAGGCTTTCATCGTTGAACTTTTCCTCTGCCGGAGCGTTCCAATGAAAAATGGCAGATTTCATTGAGCGCAAAATGAAATGCGGAGAACATGCGGAGACTTGCAGAAGAGTTGCAGGGAGCTAGCAGGGGGAGTTGCAGGGCACTTGAGGGGCAGTTGAGAGGCACTTGAGGGGACTTGAGAGGCAGTTAAGGGCACTTGAGGGGCAGTTGAGGGCACTTGAGGATGAACCAGAAGCTCTGAGGCTCCCGGGTGGCCTCATGGTACATCGCCAGGAGCTCCTGCTTGGGCAGCAGGGCGCTCAATTCCTCCAGCACCGCCTCTAGCTCCAGTTGGTTGCGCAGCCGCCAGATGCAGATGCACTGCATGTTGACGCGGACCGCCGCGCTGATCAGGCGCAGCTTCTGCGACGAGATCCAGGTGCTGATCTGCATGTGGCGCCCGCGGATGAACAGCGTGTCCAGAGCGCCGTCTCCGGTCCGGCGGTGGAGCTCCGGCTGGTCGGCGAAGTCATCTATGACCACCAGCACTTGGAACAGTTTTTTTCAGCCCCAGCTGCTTGGATGTCCTCGTTATCTTCTTCTGCTGCTCGATTGTCGTTCTGAGTGCCCCCCTGCTCCCGTTCGGTGTTCACGCCCATCTCGTTCTCTATGAACTTCTTGACGGACCTCCAGCTATGCTCGGCGAAAAGATGTAGATGCGCTCAAACACGCTGGAACCGTCCGCCGTGCGATACTGCTTCAGGATCGCGCTGATCAGCGCGACAGTCTTCCTCGCTCTTGCTGCTGGGTCCGAGGAAGATCCTGGCGCAGGGCACCCGCGGCACTATGCCATCTCTCGGCTGCTTCGAGGTGTACTCGGGATTGGGGAATAACTTGGCCTTGCCCATGCTTTATCCACAAGACCTTGTAGCACTCGAAGCACATCTTTCCTAACTCACCGCGCAATCTCGTCGCAGTGCAGGGGCATGCTGTACAGTTGCTCCCGGGACTGCTGGCTGCGACGACCGTTGGTGGTGCCACGCTGGGCAGCCTCGGGGTGGATGTCGTCCACGAAGGCATCCCAGCGGTCGTTCTTGCGGCACACGGGGGCGCCAGGGCGGTTGTGCCAAATCCTTGTGGCCTTCTTGGACTTGCAGTGACAGACGTCGCTGTAGGGCATCCCTGCACGAAGGGCCGTGTCTTCAGCAGGCCGGTCTGCGGGTTTTCAAAAGTCCACCACCTGGCGCAGATTCTCAATCATCTCCAGCGTGCGCAACACCAGTCCAATGTCGAATACACTCCGCCTTAAAACTTCGCATTTAGAAGGGCGAGCCTTGCGTCATTCGACAAC